TAAAATATCACGATATTTGTTATACCGTATAAAAATGTAGAGTAGACGTATAGGCATTTAATTTAATCATAATGCGTGAAATTTAAATACAAAGCACTTTCTACAAATAAACTTCTACCCTCGTTATTAGTAAGTACAGTTATATCATTTTCACTTTTAGTTTTGTATCCATATTTTCGAAGGGTATTACAAATTAACCACTCTGTTTGAATAACGCTAAGGAATAGAAATCTGAGATTTAGTCATTTTATGTTATAAGCATATTTTTATAATCTTACTCAACTGAGAATTTTTAATCGATTTAGTTTTATGTGTTTATTCGTCAGTTTAACTTATACTTAATTTTCTGACGCATACCGAGATCCTAAGTTTCAGACTTTGTACGCAACAACTCGAAACCAATCCTCGTGTATACCAAAAAAAATAAATTTTTTAATTGTTGAACTTTAGTGTCCAAAAATCAAAACCAAAAAAAAAGGCCCATTTAACTGGAAATTTTATGACTTACTTAATTTATGGTTAACTTTATGATTAGGTTTCTAATTTACCCATATAACGAAAGAATTTGTTATCACATGTCATTGCCCCACCTACTGTGAAAATTTATAAAATTGGCGGATTTTCATTTTACAATTTCAGATGAATACAGCAATGTTAATCAATAATTATTATGTTAGAAATTTGTAAAGAGAGGAATACATTTTTTAAAATTATAATTTCTAATTTTTACCCATTATTTTCAAATTGTAAAAGAACTAGAAATCCTAAAACTTTCGACAAATTGATTTGAAGCTGTGGCCATTTCTACAGTGATCATAAGACAAAATCCGGATTCATTACTCTTTGTCTTATTAAAGCCGAATTCAAAATTTAATAGAATCCCTAAAACGCAGAAGTGAAAAACTCAAATAGAATTGGGAGCTGAATCTAATTTTAACAATCATTTAGAGTTTAAGTAACAATGATTTATGAAATTTTTTTGGTCTCACGAAACTCAAAATGTTTGATTTGTTTACCTCTTCTAAAATAAATTTCGATTAAATATTAAAATGATTTGGGATGTAATTTTGGACGAAATTTTTTAAACATACTTAGTCGATTTCTTAAATTCGTCATTAAATCATAATATTTCTTTTAAAGCAAAAAACCAAGTTAACTTTACCTTTAACTTTAGTTACATTTAATGTAAAGTTTAATCGCGAAATATTATGAGAAAATGTTATGGCTGATGGCTAAGAGAACTGAAAGAGTGCTGAAAATTTTTATAACACGAAATGAAAAACAAAATATTTAAAATGCATAATGCGTGTGATCGTATTAGAAAACTAGCTTAAATGAATGCACAATAAAAACGAATGCATATTTACGGTTATTCACGTATTTTTTTGTTATTTTTATCATTGTCTATATTTGATGCTGGTATTCTTGTATCATTATAATTTTTAGTATTGTTGACTATTGTTGTTCCCTCTGAAGATACATATATGTGGTGCAAGGTCGTTTTTTTTTTCAAATTAAATTAAGGATTGTTTAACATTAAATTTTCAAGTTTAACAATTTCAATTGTATTCGTTATACTGCATTGCATATTTTTATGATTCATTTTGTTTTTGAAATCAGCTAATATTAAACAATATGAACATATTATGTATGAGTGTGTGCACTTATTATGTACTTAATTAAGTTTCATTACAGGGAGATAAAGTTAAAATTTTGACAACTTTCAGAATATCAAAATGATATTGAACACATTCTAAGCGTTAGTAAATGAATTCGCACGAACATTTTGTTTTATTATCGCACAAATTTATTTAAACACTTTAATATTTTTCCGGCAACTTTATTTCAGACTCCGTAATTTTTAAAGTTTTTGACGAAATTCGTGGTGAACTTTTTATAGAATTTACTTGTAGAAAGTACTTTTGCAGTAATTTCGAGTTAATTTGTATTGTAAGAAATGTCTTACTCGAAAAGACATAATCATATGCTTCTGAAAAAAAGAAGTATCTTGTTGGAAAATATTTTGAAATATGCTAGTAAGGTAAAAGAACCAATTAATTTTTTTTTGTTTATTTTTTGAATAGCTTTAAAAATTTAGATTCGATGAGCTCATAAAACTTTAAGCTTAAAATGTAAATTGATATTTATTTTATTAATCATATATAATTTATAAACAATAATAAAAAAAAATTCACATAAATTGTTCTACAGAACCCTGTAACATATTTGCTGTAAATTTGAATGTTATACATTTTCTGGCCGAATGAGAAGCTTTACAAAAAAAAAAAAATATTATACACACTATACCCAATATGTATAGGTACTTTAACACAACTTTAATATTAAAAAGTAACTGAAATTTCAATATCAAAATGTTGTCAAAAAATTTTAAATAAAATTAGATTGCGTATTGTGTTATAAATTTACAGTACCATATAATAATGAAAACAATCGCGCGATTTTTAAACAAAACCAACAACAAATTCTTCTAAATTATTAATGAAAATATAAAAGTTAGGAAACATTTGGAATGAAGTTTTGAAAATAAGCACATTTATATTGTAGTTGTATACTTATTTTAATTCAAACACAATTTTTGAATAATTTGTTAAAATACTTCGCGGGGGTATGGCATATTAACAAAAAGTCTGACGTTGTTATACCAAAATTTCACGTAAATATCTATGGCTTCAAAGTTTGGTATTGCTTTACTAATCTATAGGACGTAACTAAAAATTTTTTCTTTAGGAAACCTCCTTAAAAAATATTTTTGTACCATGTATCAAAAATTTCAATGAAGTTTTATTCGGATGAATTTTGATTTTATAAGGATAAAACTCAGATTGTTAAAATATTTAAAATTATGTCAAGATTATTTAGTCTCCAATAAATATTGTCCCTTTTTTAATGATTTTTCTGTTTCCGGCAATCATGAATAATGAAGAGCAGTGCATGAGGAGCTGGAAGCAACATTATAGGCACCAATGTAATGGTATTCGTACCATTCAATATAATTTTAATTTATTTTTTATTTAAAGGCTCTATACTTAATTTTTTATTTTTAGGCAAGATTTTATGATTAACTGACTTGATCAAACTTAACGATTTCTAATACACCTTTTCAATAAGTGTAATAATTTTTTATTCACTTGCGATTTTTCCTTTAATGTGCTAAAAGTGGAGAGCTGATATTACAGATCACATTAAAAACAGCAAAACATACAGTGAAATACTAGACTAACAATTAAATTTTCTAAAATAAAAATATTAATAGAAGAGAAAGATTAACATTTTATATGGGTATTGTACTTTCAATTCTTCAGGCATTTACCCTTTCTTTTTAAACACTTTGTAATTTTGAATAGAGAAATTACTTTAGCTGCTGAAAACAAAAAAAAAATTAAGCAGATGATAATGACTTAGGGGACTCAAAAAAATCGCAACTCTAAAATACTTTTGTACATTTCTTTTAATTTTCATTTAAAACAATCCACTTTCAACAATTTTAATCTTATCATAAGACTTTTTTAATTTTAGTTATTCTTCTTTTGTATTTTTGTGAGACATGGCAAGGTCTTTGTTATTTTTAAAAAAAACTTTTGAAATTGATAGCATCTTTTACACCTTATTAAAATAATGATCGTAAAGTGAAAAAAAAAACATAATTTTTGTTTCTGAATTGAAGAAATTTTTTGTATAACAAAAATTATAATTTTTCTTGTTTTTATACCTTTATTGTCATTCATGTATGCATACATACATATATAGATAAATTTTTATATAAACAATTAATTATAATAGAGGTGAAGTTTAAAATTTCACTACGGAAATGAAAAGTGAAAGGATTTAAAATTACATACATTTATGTATGTCAATGTGTGTGCATGTTTAGTCAAATTAATTCATATATAAAGTAAATATATGTATGTATATAAAGTATTCATAAAATTTATTTACAAAATATAATTTAAACAAAATATAGAAAATGGAATTTATGAAATGGAGTAGCAATTTTGCCATATGATATTGATAGTGGCAGACGCAAATGAGGGAAAACTCATCGGATCCGATTAGCAAAGAACTAAATCAGAGTATTTGTATTGAAAAGGCTAACTAATAGCCGCATAATCAGAGGACCTATTTGTGGTCGATTATATTACTAAATTTCAAGGAATTTTAATTATTCCTTCATACTTGATAGAAAATTTATTAAAACATGCTCTTGGCAGTTTTCTTTTCACTTTTGTAAAGATATTTATTTTATCTTTGAAATTTATTTTATTAAAAATGGGGGAATGGTTCAGGTGAGAAAATGAGAAACAAGGTGATTTAAACGAGTAATTGCAATATTTTAGCTAATTAATAAATAATAAATAGCAAGCTTTAATTACAAATTAAAGTTGAAAGTTAAAAATTTCCTGAAAATTTGAATGGCAATCTCAAGAGGTAGTGTGGCACAGTAGTGATATATTAGCATAAATATTTTTCTAATATTGTTACTTCTAATTTCATAAATTTACTTTGGTTTAAAGAAAATAATTTAAGGAGAGGTTTTATTCAGAAAATATTTTTTTTTAAATTCCGAATTATTTTCATAAGTATTATTGGTTGGTTTTGATTGTTTTTCTATTTGCCTCATATAAAAGAGCAACATTTCTTTGTTTGCAAATATGACTACGAGACAAAATAGTGAAAGAATTAACTTTTTATATCTTTCGTGTAAAGTATACCAAAATTGCATTCTAGTTTAATGATTAACTAATATAATTTAACTTCAATGAATTCTAAAGGAACAACTACAACTCTTTATAACTTTACAGAGTGCTAAGCTGACTAAAAAGCAGATTATATATTTGGAAGTAATTTATTTAAAGTTCTATTAGGGCAAGCTTGTCATGGCATGTTTGATATAATCATGCCATGACATAATTAATTATAATCTCTTATTCAGTTATTTGATATAATCTCTTATTCGATTAGATTAGATTTAGAGTTTGATATAATCTCTTATTCAGTTATTTGTATAACTTTTATCACTGAAATGGCTCACGTTATATAATAAATAGAATTGTAAGACCAATATTTTGCAGTTTTTAAATTTATCAATTTTGTTACTTTTCTAGGTAACTATGTGCCATATTCATTACAAATATCTTCAATCTTTTTTTGAACATTTATTTCTTCCCAATCACAATCTTCACTAGCGGCATCATATTTCATAAAACTGATAACATCGTCTAATGTCGCTAAATAAATAAAATCAGATTTACTAATTGATAAGTCAAGGCAACGAAACTTTCCAACATTATGTATGCAACCCTTGTACAAATAATATTCTTGAAAATATTTGAAAACTATGTAGTTGCCATATTTTGTTATTGCTAATAAACGATCAGTGCATTTGAAGGCACTATTAAGAAGGTTGCGTAGATTTTTGTAAGTACATTTTTCTGTACCAACGATTGCTAGTTTCTTACGGAATGAATGAATTGTCGGTCTCTTTGGTTTTGCATGTGGAGCACAAGTAATCGGTTCTAAATATTTTGCATTGCATATTTCAATATCTTGTTTGATCTCAAGTTTGGGACATGATCTCACACTAGGTGCGCATGACTCGTCTGATTTACATATTTTTGCTAACATTTCCATTTTATCAATCTCAGTCGACTTAGCTAGTTTATCTAATAATATTTCATCTTCACCTCCCTTTGGCGTGATATCTTTATCTCCCTTTGCCAAATCACCTACTTTCTGGACGAGCTCATTATCATCATCAACATGCGCTGTATCTGCAAAGTGGTTTTTATTCTGCTCATCCAGATCATCATTAATAATTGGAAGAATATCATTTTTTTGACTTGAAATGGTAAAGGTATCCTCATCTGGCAGGTTCTCACCTTCAAATAATTGTGCTACAGTTATGCCATCTTCCGCTTCTTTTTCTTGTTCTTCATACAAATCCTCTTTATCCTGAATTTTTGATTCTTCTATGTTGTCTTCATTTAATTTTCTGCGCAGCTCTTCTTTTAACTTTTTCTCAGCATTTGCTACTTGTGTTTCAAACATTATTTGATTTTGAATATCAAAGTAATCTTTTGCTATTTGTGTTTCTGAAATTCCAGGTGAATTTAAATCTGCTACACTAATTTTATCAGCTAAATTTTTCAAATCACAAGTACATTTAAACGTTTCGTGACAAACTAAATCTTCAACTGACTCGTTTAATGATTTAATCTCTTCATTTTTCAGTATCCCACTCGTACGGGTAATGCAAAATATTTGTCCTTCTTCATAGTTTGTTTCAATTCTGCGATCGACTATATTTAATATACGCACAGAATGTAAGTTAAAATTGGTTGCGGATGGAATTTCTAGAATGAGCTGAGTCAAAATTGAACAACATTGATTTATTGTGCTACACATATGAAGAACTGCTGATTTATATCGTTCAAAATCTCCACGATTTGCTTGATGTTCGTATGGATCAAAGATGTAATAAATATCATGCCTTTTCCATATAGCGTAACTTTTACTTTCAATTTGTAAAATTAGGTTAACGTTTTTAGCAAAACAATTTTTAAGTGCTTTCGTTAGTCCACTTCGTTTATAATTTGAAACACATTTCCATTGACCAAACTCTATATTGAGATTAACAGAAACATCTATCATATACTGGCCAATAGTAATCTTATTTGGAATATCATAAAGAGTAAATTCAGAACAGTGTAAGCAGTTACTCCAGGTTTTGTAAAATGTTGTGCCAAAAACAATAATTTCATCAATCATAAGGTTATCCCAACTGCATGTAGGCGAAATTTTTGAATATAACAATGCTATTATTGCCACAGTCAACGATTGTTTATACCGAAGTTCTTTAAAGCAAATTGATCCAATATGAATATGACCTTTAAGTATTGCATACTTATTACTAACAATTTGAAATGTTTCAATAGAATTTTTGGAAACTTGATCCATTTTGAGGTTGGAGCAATTAGGGATAATTTTTGACATTTGTAATTTTCTTATAGAAAATATTCCATCTATATTCATGTTTCCTAAGTTAACAATGTAGTAATATAAATTTTCTGGAGAGCGAACCGCTACTAAAACAGCGTTTGAATTCGGTTTTACGGTCAAAGTTTCATGATCTCTTCCGTATGAATCCCATAAAAAGTACATTCCGTATCTTTTCCATATGAAGTAGTAGGTTTCATTACCAAACAATAACAAGCCATATGAAGAATATTGGAAAAACTTTTTCATTGATGTTAATAATATTGGAACTGTTAAATCTTTAGACTGAACTTTTCCAGTGTATTCCGGATCTAATATTTCAATTTCCATTACATTATTATTGACGACAAATTTTCTGTTCACCGTTATTTCGTTGAGTTTTTTTGGGTTGTTTTCCTCTTTAACGATCGAAGCTTCAATCAATTTTTTTCCATCTTCAAGAATTTGATTAATTATTAAAGTATTCCAATCCTTTTCTGGAACAGAATATGCCATTCCAAATGCTATTAAACAACAAGAATATGCCTGCATTGAAATATTGCTCGGATTAAAATGATAAATTGACATAGTTCCAAATGTAGCACCAACTGGACTTCCAATGCTTATTTTTGATACATTAGAATATATTTGTGCAGGAATTGACATAAGGCAAGCTTTATATTTTTGTTGAATTTTTTCAGGGTATAAATGTTTTCTGTATTCAAGTTGACGGCATTGAAGAACTTTTTTTACATTTTCATTCAAAGAATCTTTAGGAGAATTATATGACCTGGTTGAAAACATTCCGCTTCTTCCAACTGTATTCCTTTTTCAAAATAGAATTTTAAGAACAAAGAATTTTTCGTTATTAAAATTACAAAATTAAATATGTCAATAAAATATAATACACAAACATATACAAAAAAAACTCAGTTTACATAGACACAAAATTATTTTTTAAAATGAAATAAGAAAGGTTATTCTCAATAATGTGGCACAAAAATTGGATTTGTTTGATATTGTTTCGTTTGCCGTGAATATTTAGTCTTACTTATTTTTGACATAATGATGATTAAGCTCAATGTCCTTGAATGGATAAGTTATCTTAAGAGTAACACTGTCCGCGAGAAACTTAAAGAAATCGTTTTTAGCAAAATAGTCATCTTTCGATATACATACATACATCTGTCTTTTGTTAGAAAATCATATTTGTTTTTTTAAACTTCTTGTTTTTATCGCAACAAAATCTAAAATGATAATACTCGATTACTGGATTATCACGGTGAGTGGCAGAACAAGACTAAAAAATAAACCTAAATCGATTACACCGGGTAAGCGAAAAATGACATTTTGCGAATTTTTTGCAGTAATAACTTGTGAGAGGAAGGTGTTCTTTGAAACTTTAGGTTTGTTAGTATTTATCAACATCTCTAAAATGTGTTGAAATTGATAAATCATTTGATTTACCGTGAAAACTGACTTGGAAAATTATTCAAAATCACGTTTGGAATCATAATCGAAGAGTCAATTCAACAACCTAACATTTGTTTATAATTTTAAAAAATTATAAAAGCTTTATATTGTCAATATTTTCAGTAGTTTTTTTTCTTTGTTTAAAATATGTAAGATATAGTCTTGAATTTTTTAAATTTTAATACTCCTACAATTTATTTTTATTTTATAAAACAGTTTTATTAAACGTATAAAAAACTGTATCGATCGATCAATATTAATAATTAAGAAAAAAACTAAAAATATTGGAGTATTTAAATAAAAATCACACAATATAAATCACCCTATTGAAATTAAATTTTTAAAAGAAAATTATAATAACATAAAAGTGAAAGTGTATAATCTTTGATTTAAATAAACACAGCGCGAAGAGTGATGAAAAGTGGTTGGCAATTTACTAAAAGGAAATAGCGAAAAACGAAAACAAATTAAAAAAAAAGTTCCCTACGAAAAATTTGCAAATCATAAAATTACATGATTTTTAATTAACAAATAACGGTGTAAGTTGTTATTTAATAACCACAAAATACTCGGTGAAAATATTTATTTAACCTTTAACTATGTACGTAGTTTGGACTTGTACCTCTTTGCATGTGTGGCAAATTTTGGAATTATTTTTAGTTTTAAAAATTTTTAATTCAAATTGTATGTTATATTTTATATAAATATCCTTTTTTATCTTTGAATATTTAAAAATGTGTATCACAACGTATTTTTTAATAATATTTATTTCATAAGTTGAAATTAATTCAAAATTAACAAAAATATAATTTTACTTTTTACAAAAAAAAACGTCTTTAATTACAAAAATTAATTAAATTGATAGTAATAATATAAAAACAAAAAATACGACTTGAATGTCTCAAAAGATAAAAAAAGTCGGGACCTTAAAAAATTTCAGTATTGTCACTAATAATTACACGTTTTTGCTCAGTTTGTGCAAAATCTTTTGATAAAACCAAAATAATCAATGGCAATCAATGATACAGCTCGACGTTTAAGTCATGGAAGACATTTAGAGCACATTTTCTTCTATGGAGCACTACTTAAATGTATCAATTTCATTTGAACATACTTCTATTCTTTCTATATGTAAAATATTATGCCAAAAAACTTTTCTTTAAACTTCGGATCGCCAACTTTAACGATATTGGAAGACTTTTTTCGTAGTTTTTCAGAAAAAATCTTTATAAGATGTATGCGTGTCAAAAATAATTCCATCAAAAACTTACTTGCATATGTATGAGTAGAAAAAAAAATTTATTCCTGAAACTTTCGCATGCACATGAGTCAAAAAAAAAAAACTCTGAAAAAATCACACTACTTGTATGTGGTATTTTTTTTGCCATTAAACTAAATTTTAAGTCATTACTCCCTCCCTTTTAAAACCAAAATGAAAACTAAATTAAAGCTAGCCGCAAAAGAGAGAACCCTACAAGTGAGATGATGCTACTACAAGCATTTTAAGCAAAAAATTTTTGCAGTTTTTCTCAAAAGTGTCAAAAAATCTATCATAGTTAAAGGTTAATATTTAAGATTCAATTTAAGTAAAAGTTTAATATACTTTGATAATAATTACGATATTAAAACTAGTATTTCATAGTTAAACAAGTCTTAATTTACAATTTGATTACAAAACAAACTTTAATGGTTAATAAATAACCCAAAAAAAAAGTATAAATGAGTAGATGAAACCACAAATTATTGAGGTAAACACGAATCTTGTGAAAGGGTTTTTCTCTTAACACAAATAAATAAAGTTGGGTCAAACCAATGGTTTGTATTGTAGCACTTTTCCCTTCAACAAGTGAAAATTCTGCTTTTAAATACAGTCTATGTCTATCAAACACACTATTAAAAATATTTTCATTAATATACGATACTCTTTCTAGGATTGCATATCTTTAGGATGAACGATTTGTGCAGTCTGAAATAAATCAAAAATTAATATAAAGTGGGGTTAACATAATGCTCGATTTTAAGGGTTAATTGTGTGAGTTAAGAAAAATAATTATATTTTTTAATGTCATGGGTATTAAAAGGTATTAAAAATTCAAATTTTACAAATTTCAAGAGGCGATAACTTGAGAGGGGACGGAGATGGAAAAAAATTTTCTTCTAACGAACTAAACTTCTTGTGTTAATGTCTAAAAGTTCCTAAAATTTCGAGGTTCTACAAGCTGGGGTCTAGAAGAAAAATTAAATCAAAAATTTGGAAAAAAAGGACTTCAGATAACGGTCAATTTGAACGGCCATTTTGTTTTTCTAACAAAAATGCTTATGGTTTCATTGTAACAAATAGTTGAAAAAGACCATTTTTAGGGTTTTTGGGGGGGATAACTCCTAGAGGGGGGGATAGGTAAAAATTTTGTTCTACGGAAATAAGTTTCTAGTAAAGATCTATGTACGTATTAAATTTAAGCTTTCTATCTTCAAGGGTGTAGAAGTTTTCTAAACAGACACACGGGCAGACGGACGGACGGACGGACTGACGGACCGGCGACGGACAGAGTGAAACTAATAAGCATTTTTTTAAAAAAAATTTTGTGCAATTAATATAATATTTTTCAATGGTTAGTTTAATCACTAAGATGGTGTTGTGTGAAGACAGTAGTTATAATAATCATCATTAACCGTTTTATTATATGATGATGATGATGATGATTATGATTATAAAGTTATAATGTTAGCTTGCGTATTATGCTGATTACGATTATTAAGTTATGCAAAAAATTTCTCGATTACGAAACAAATTTTATAAAATGTGTGAAAAAAACATCGAAAGGAGAAATGAAATGCTCAACCAATCTTTCTTTTCAGTTTTTCTTTTTTACAGTTAAATATTGATTTTTTGTTTTTTGTTATTTTTACGTTTTATATGAGTGTCTGTTTCATATGTCGATGTTATTATTATTATTGTTTTGTAAATTACCAGTTTGCATATATCACAGCGCACTTTTCATACATATATATACATATATGTATATATATATACATAAATATAAGTATATATATAAGAGTCTGAGCATATCAATAGTTCAATGTATTGATTGCACTACAATATCATTTTTATTGTTATTGAATTACATGAAGTTAGCCAGTTAGCGTTTTACAATTACAATATATAGTAATATGATCATAACGGTAAGTTTTTATTTTCGTTACATCTCACTACTTATACTTGAAGAAATGTTAGGGATTTTATATTTTCTTTTAATTCGAAGAAAAGTTTTAATGAAATTTTGTAATAGGCATAAATTGGTTATAGGAATTAAGTATGTTTCTCACATTATTCTAGGACAATTTTTTTCATTACGAATGCTGTAAAGAAAAGAATAATTATCTACAAATAAAATTTATACCTAATAAAATAAATGTCAAATACAGTAAAAGACCCGAATAGATTTGAATTGTTACAACAAAAAAAAACTTAGTGGTTGTCCAATGATACTCGCTCTTCTAAATTTAATTAAAATAAAATAAAAAAAATTTAAAAAAATCTTGTGGATCCAAATTATTTGGTTGACATAATAGTCTAAACACCAACAACTTCTTTACTGTATTCTTCTTTACTGTAGTGTCCATATGATACAGGATATAAAAATTCGAAAAAAAAATTTGTGAGATTTTTGGCCCATTGGAATTTTTATCACTTTGCTATAACAACTGATATCATCCTGAAACTAAAAATTTTTTATTATTTGCTTTTTTGAATCTTACCATTATAAATATTTTAATATCTGCTCTTTTTTTGTTTACACTATTATAGTTCGATTTGATAAAAAGATGAATAACTTATCCTCATTATTTTGTGTTTTATAAATACAACAATGCGTTTATAAAGTTTATATTTATATACAGTTATATACATCAATTTAGCAGCTATATATTTACATTGAATGTCTATTGTACGTAACATTATGCATATTTTTATTTGCTTTAAATGTGTATGTAGATATACAATTAGTATTATGTTGTGTTTATGGCCAACATATTACCTAAAAGATTACGAAATTGAAAAACAAAAAAAAATAAACATCAAGCGAAAGCAATTCGGGTTGATTGAGGAAAGGAAAAGTTAAAATTTTAAAAATGAAAATGAAAGTGATTGTTAAACACGAAAATCGAGAAGTGCAACACAGAAAAAAAATTACAGTAAAAGAAAACAAAATCAAAGAAAAACACAACAAAAAACAAAAAAATGTATTCGCACAACATTACAAACGGCTTGGTTGCCCCCGCTTTACCTTTCTTCTATATTGATGTGTAATAATGTAGCAACTTAAGTTTGGGTTTATTTTTTATATTTTTTAT